GTGTCGCCTCACACACGCGGGGTCCGGGCCGTGCGCCCCCGGGGAGCGGCGGGTGCGGGTGAGGGGTGAGCATCCCCGCAGTACCCTCCTCCCAGGGGCAAGCGCTTCACTGGCACTGAGCCGCCGGCTCTCTGCCGCTGCGCACTTCCTACGGCTGTGCCGGGGACTACAAAATTCTGACCGCAAAACTCCAAACGTAAGGATTTAGCGTGAGGATTCCCGTTTATCACACACGCACACCACACAAAAAACGCACATGCATAGAGCTCCAATTACAGTGACATTTCACCCACTGTAATTATTAGTTGCGAAAATAATGAGCTATGAAATTCCAATTTATTGTTGACAACTTTAATGACAAAGCTCTGAAGCCTCGCTCTGAGCTCTATAGTGCAAATACATCTAACAGTAAATCTATTCAAACTAACAAAAGTAAAACCATCAGACGTGAGCCTGGCAAGTAAATAAATGGCCCCTTTCTTATCTGTGCGCTGGTCCTGATGGGAATCGGTGGCAAGTCTGCTGCGGTGGGAGCATCACTGGCTGAACCGGGCACTCACCGGCGCCGGCCAAGCCGGGAGCAGGAGTCTGCGCCTATGGCGGACACAGAGCCCCAGCGGAGCAGAACAGCCCGCGAGGGGCTGGCGGGTCTCAGACAGAGCCCACGGAAAGTTTTGCTCTCTAAAGCAGTAAAAGCATCGGTGTCCTCAGACCTACAGCAGGAGGAACGCGTGCAGCGTGCAGGGAATGCATCTCCCTGCAGGGAAGGTGTGAGAGAAAAACGGGGACGTTGAGCGTGACGCGGGCACAGGCTCCTGCGGTGCTCCGAGAGCACAGCGCGCGGGGCTGACGGTCACCAGTTACGGCGAGGGGCGGTGCGAGGGGGCTATGGGGAAAAGGAACGCCAACAGCTGCCAAACCAGGGGCCTGTGACTTTGCCAAGTCAGTATGGCTCTGAGCGCTTAAATGGCCGCTGAGAGAGCGCAAATGCTGCTAATCCGAGCAGATCCCCTGTGTGATACTGCAAAAAAAAAAAAATTGCCGGAACAGTCTTTGCAGCTATGCTAGGTCCAGAAAAGCAAACTGGTTAAAAATTGGAAAAGAAAAAGATGGTAAAAATAAAAATACTAAGAGTAAAATTGCAAACAATTAAGTTAACTGCAAAAATTTAGTTAATAGTTCAGGAATTAACTCTTCCAGATTATCAAGAAAAACATATTCTAACCAAAAAAAAAAATGTTTTCCTTAATATAGTGGCTCGGCTGTCTCAGAATACCTGAAGTCCAAAACCATTTTGACACTGTAATTTAGACAAACTATGTTCAGATTTGTTCACAAGGTACAAAGAAGCAAGGACGGTATTTTTGACCTCAATATACGTCAAACTTTAAAACGAAAACAGGAAATTACATGCAGTCAGAGTTTAATTTTTTACTGCCGCAGTGATTCAAGCAGCTCCAGCCTGAACAGAGGGCTACTCCCAGAATAGCCAAAATTAAGATGCTTAGTAGTTACTCATGCTACTCTGTGCTCTAATTAAGAAATGTATTCCAGCAAAAGAGTAGAAAAAGATGTAGAACTAAACTGTGGAAAACACTGCAAAATACCCTCTGTGAAGGAACGCACAGCCATGTTGACGTTGATGTATATATACCATATATAATTGTATTACTGCCAAAAGAGAGTCTTCTTCTAAGCAAACCAAGTAACTTTCACAACTTCTATTTTTTTTCCATTTTACTGAAGAGGACTCCCAGATTTCTCTACTCGTTCAGAGCAGACAGGTGTGGGATATACGCCACATATACAGCCAGTACGCCCGACACGGCATTTACGCTTTGTGCTATAACTACCTATAAGAAACTGTGAAAGGGGCAAACCAGGCACGTGAACAGTGGCACTGCTCCCCCACATCGGGCATATGAAACCATGAGCGGTCAGGAAGGCCCCCTCCTCACTGGACTCATTTCCTGAGGTTTCTACTATTCCCCATTTGTTTGCAGCCTCCAATTAAGGGACTGGCACTGACGCTTTTCTCTTGACGGACACGGAAGGATTCGTCGTCCCCCCTTTTACCTGCCAAGTATTTTGCTGACGCAGCCGTGGCTGACGCGGAGCTGCCGGGAGATGTCACACGGCCGGACCCCTTGATGGGCGAGCTCCACGATCCTTTGGCGAACGACATCTGGGAGGGGGCGGCCGTTGACGAAAACACCCCCCAGCTGATTCACGCCTCCATGTCCTGAAACACACAGGGGAGGGGGAGAGGGGCAGGAGAAGAAGAGCTGTGTGAGAGTTTCGGACGTCTCTGCAGGGCAGACCCCCCCCAGCCCAGCAGTCCCCGCCGCTGGGCATCGCCCCC